GAGCTAGTTTATAAACATTAAAAAAATTATTTTTTTGAATTCAAAACAATAATATTTGTAGCTAAAGATTAAGAAAAAAAATGAAGGGAGACGTGCTTTTTTGAAAGTATCAAGACCATGATTCGAGTAGAAATAACATTATAGTTTCATTATTATCTTTAGAATTTTTTAATTGATGCAAATTATTTGGATTGATTAATGCGCCACCAACCTGGCAAACATTCAAGAATTGCAATGCGATTAATTAAAATAAATCTTTTTATAAAACGGAGTTCAAAGGTTGGCTAAGTTATAAAAATTGGGTTGGTTACTTTTTTGTACAGTACATGTAGAACTTAACCAAACAGAGTTATACGTACGTAAGTCCACATATATGAGTGCCGTCAAGGGAAAACCTACAAGTCGTACTTTTTGAATATTAACTTTAATTTAAAATATCTTAAAATTAGGCAATTTAGTACCTACTGTTCTTAATATGATTTGAATCGTCTCATTAAGATGATCCAAATAATTTTAAAATTAAGGTATTAAATTGTCCGATTTTAATTAACAAAAAGTACGAGTTGTAGGTTTTCTCTTTGCGGCACTCATATGATGGATGAAGTTAAATCAAGATACAATCCATTTAGGGCTATACCCTATCAGAGGCCAGTATTCTTACACATTAATTCACTCTTCAGATAACGATAACCATACACTTCATTGCATTCCGTTCTTGGTATGCGCCACAAAATATCTTAACCATAATGATTACCGGATTAATACAATTGACAAACCCGTACGTACGTAACCACAGTACAGGAGTAGATCAGCTCCAATTTTATACAAGGAATCAATAATATTTAAGCCGCAATAAAGCCTCATGTTTGTACAAAACCAAATAATTCCAAAAATAGGCCAACAAAACTAGCATAAAATAGTAAATTTTTACACGACATAATACACAAGTTGATAATCTAGATATAATCTCGAATAAAACAAGTAAAAACAAGGTAAAACTCGATAAGCATATGGTCTTACATTAAATGAATAACCCGAAAGGAAATTCAAAATTTCATAATACTTAAGCATCGATGTATATTAAAAGCCTTATCGTTATACAGCGCACAAATACAGAAATCGCATAACAAACAATCTTCCATTCAAATGTTAGGAATTGTAACTTGCCAGTAAACCATACACTTCGTTATACTCCGTTCCTGGTACTGGTATACAGTAAAAATTATTTACTAGACGATTATTTTCATTATTTCGGATCTAAATATTATAATAGCCAAACTTTTTTTGATTCAATAAATTTTCCTTCTTTTTTAATATTTTTTAGTGATAAAAAAGGATATACGGAAATTGATTTGTAAGCAACTACGTAGTAAATAATTTATGTAACATTAATTACGAATCAGCAATAAGGATTACAACCACGTGAGGTAAATGTAACAAAGAATCCCACAATTTCAAAAAATTATAAATATTCATCACGTTAGACATTTAGAACTTCATACTTACCTGCCAGGATATAACCATGATCAATAAGGTGGTTGTATAGGTGGTGGCTACTGGCATTGCACTCAAGCTGGAGGCTGCTGTCTTGAACATCCTACGGGATGTCTCAACTGGATAATTTTTGTCTGCTGGGGTCGTTCGTGGTTCGCCGCGAATTGCCCCTAATTTATTTATTATTAGCGGGGTGCTGGGGATAAAGGGTGTTGTGCAACCAATTTTGTTTTTAATGTTTAGGTTTATTTTCGTAATACACAGGTGACTTTTTTACTATTAAGTAACGATGAAAAATAAAACCATTATTATTATTATTATTTTTTTTGATTGGTATTCGTTTTTTTTACAGCGGCAATTGAATCGATGTTTTTTTTTCAATATAATCCTAAAAACAATTTTCCATTTTATTTACTCGCTTCTGAAGAACAGTAGCACAAATTTCTAATTATTCGATTTCTTGATTCTACCCACTCTAACGATTTTACTAACTATCTTGTATCTGCTACGTTATTATGTACGCACGTACAGTATATATGTACCTTCTACTATCTCAAATCATGCTATATGGATTTCGTAATATTATATGTATCTACTAGACAAGGCGACTCGCGGAATACTTTGTTAAATTGACAATTTGGTGAACAACGCTGTATTATAATACCGATACTATATTAAAACTCTTTATTACATTAAATATATGCATAGTTTTGATATATAAAACTGGAATAAAAAAGCAATTTATGGCTGCCATTTTTATTAAGGAGAAATTATTTCAGTTAAATTAAGGGCTGGTATTACATCTTTTCCATACCCCTATCTCTCTCTCTTTTTTTTATTACACGGTCGTCAATCTGGGAATAATCAGTTAATCCGAATTATTATCGGTTTAATAGGGGCTGGTTTAAATAGATAAATGATAATGAGCCTTATGCGTGTGTACGTCCGTACATATCGATATGTGCGAAATAACGATAAGCTAATTGTTAAATGCATGCGTATTAGTATGCGTTACATTTATAAATGAAGATGAAGGCTTGATCGACATATTACTACTTATTATAGAAATTCATTGTGTAATATGAAACATTTTTAATTGTAGTGTAACAAGAAAATAACTAGATTTTAATAAATCATTATAACGATAATGCAAGCTTCTTATTTACGTTTTACGATTCTTCGAAATTTTAATAGATTTATGTAATCACTTTAGCGGGTTGTTACGTGCGTACTTACGTACGTATGTACGATACATTTCTATGTAGAAAAATAATCGGTACGTATCACATACGTAATTTTTGTGTTACAAATTCTCGGAAGATTAATTAATAATTAGGAAATAACAAAAAAAAAAATAATAACAATAACGATAGGTCTAAAACCAATTACCTAAAATAGTAACAACAAGTTTTCTTGTATTGTTCTTGAGGCTTTGCTTAATTTGTCGAGCCGTTTGTTTCCGAAGTATTCTTTATATAAAGCGTCTACAGTAATCTAGTTCAAATAATAATATAAGTAGTAGCATTGATTTATATTTTTATAATTTCTGCAATGATTATATCTAAAGAGAGAGTTTTTAGCATTTTTAAAATAGTGGGCGTAGTTACTTGATACTTGAGCTTATGATCCTTGTTTCAAATATTCAAATTTGGTTTATTTTTTATCGTTCTTATTTTAATTTGTTTCAAAGCCTCTTTTTTGGGCCTCCATTCAATTTGTAATTGTTTCTTTTTAAGAAATGAAAACTTTATTCTGTTTAATAAAGGTTACTCTCGTAAACGTTTAATAGAATTGTAAACTATATGCATAGATTATATAATTTACATACGTACAATAAATTCTATAGCAAAGTAAAAGGAAAAAAGTTTGTTATACGTATGAAATTTCCATTTTATCCATTTATATAAAATTAAATAAACGAATCTGACAAAATAAAAGTAATGAATAAAAATAGAGGATTTCAGTGTTTGAGAAAATCTATTTCAGTTAGAATAGAATATTTTGTTTGTAATAAATAATTGTTAATTTTAATTGCAATTAAGTTCCACTAATTTTGCTTATGTAAATGGGGATTTTCCATCGTAATATAATATTTACTAAAGTTACTTATTTTCAAAGTGCGCTATTTTTCGTTAACTTTGAAACCTCTACTATAAAGTGTTGAATATTAAAACAGTTCTATAAATAAATTTATACTCAAAAGTTAATTTGTCTAAATAAGTATCGGTTTATTTGTTTCTCTTCAAATAATGATCTGATCTGATCTGATCTGTATAAAAAATCACATACCCAGGTCACGCAAATAGCAAAAGTGCAGAATCAAATATTCCAATTTTTACTTTTTCGAAAATATTTCCGTGTACGTACGTACGTATAAGGTTTATAAGGTTTAAAACCTTTCATGCATAATCGATATCCTTATGGAACACAAATCTGACACATTAACTTGCATGCCAATTGTATTTAGTTATTTCACTTTTTACGTATTCTTAAATCCAATAAACATTTCCTTACATGTATAAAGTGTTAATTATTAAATAGCTTATTATTAATTTTTCGATCTTTATTTAATTTTTATTTCTTAGAATTGAATTCTTTGAATCGATCGTTTCCTAAAACATAAAAGGTCGAACCTCAGGTTTTAAATAATCTAATTATAACCTAATTAAATCGCCATCAAATATTATCTAAAAAAGAAAACCTTAATTTTCTTTTTTATATAATTTCGGACTTAATGCACTTTAAGTCTAGTGCATTTACAGTATATTACGCATCAGATTTTCCGGTTTCATTAGCCGAAGTAAATCACCTGACCCTTTGCGACCAAATAAAAAAAAAAAGCGGAAATCGGATGATATTTTGAATATCTGGGGATCAAAGTGAATACAATTTGCACTGTACAAATATAAATAACAAATAACAAATACGTAACAAATAACTCATTATTAATTTTCTTTTTTAGTATCCTTTCCGTGTAACCTTCAGTGTGACATTGTTTTCTAAACAAAGATATTTACATCCAAAAATGATCGACAAATTACACAATTTATTTCTTCTGTCGCATGTATTAAATTAACATAGTCTTTATTGGTGATATCCGTTTCATTTTCACAATCTATAGAACTATGATATTTGATTCATGGACTATGTGTTTTTTTACTTAACCATCCATATTTTTTTTTTATAATATTGCTTATGAGGTCATGCAGTTCGAAAACAATAACTTGTATTTACATAATTGATTATTAATTTTATTAATTCGAATATTGATAATTATACCCATTTACAGTTACAGTATATCTATTCCATCTACTGCAAATATTTACACGACATCTGTAACATAGCATGGCAGAGTACCTGATTGTTTATAAGCATAAAGTGAAACTCTGTTGGCTTTATGTGCATCCTTTTCATTTTTAAACGTGTTTTATAAATACGTATTCACCCTAAAGTCGTTTAGTAAAGAATAAAAAAAAAAAAATTCTTTACGATAAAAAACGGCAAATATGAAACACGTAAATTATTCACTCTTTTTACTTGCAGTTTTATGTATGTTAAAGCCAATTTCCGTTTTATCAGTACTTTCCGGAGATTGGCCGACAGTTGATCTTCCTCCTCCGATAAATCAGACATATACTGCTCTTGTAAACTTGACTTCGGTTAGTCCAGCTCCTGTGAATATTTCCTGCCCAACTGGTAACAGTGACAGTTATTGCCGTACGGATTGTAGTGGTTGCGTTCGAAGCAATGATATTATCGAATGTCCAACTATACTTGGTAATTTTAATAATATTATATTATAATAATAAATAATAATCTTAATAATCTTCTTTTTTTTTCTAATTAGATTGGGGTCTTACTATAGCTGGTGGTCCATGGTAAATTTTCATTCAAATTATTGAATAATCATTATTTTATTGAAAAATTAATCATTTGTTTTTCATACCTTTTCAGTCCATTTACGAGTACAGTCCTGGACTTTTTAGATACTCAAAACATTAAAGTTACTTTCTTTGTCGTTGGTTCTAGAGTATATCAATATCCTGAAATATTACAAAGAATTCTTAAATCTGGTATGCTTTATTTCCTTTCTATACATTTCTTATTTTTCTTTTCTTTATACAGATTCCGAATCAATAATTTTTATTCATTATTAAATAGGACATGGGATTGGTATACTTAATTGGTCAAACTCTTCGTTGGTAAATCAAACTAATAAACAAGTTATTTCAGAACTTAAATGGGCTATGGAAGCTGTAAAAGCTGCTGTTAATGTTACCCCAAAGCTTATGAGTCCTCCATTTGAACAACTTGATGATCGAATTCGAAATATTTCAACTCAACTTGGTCTAAAACCTGTCCTTCGGGATTTAGATACTTATGATTGGTTTTCAGATGGTGATCCAACTTTTGATCTTTCCTGGATCGTAAATAATTTTACTCAATGGGTAGCTGATCCAACTATCAATACTACTGGTCATATCTCTCTACAACATGACTCATATAATCAAACCGCTACTAAAATTCCTTTGGTCATACCAATTCTTAAAAGTGCTAGTTATAATATTAAACCTGTTTCGGTTTGTATAGGGGACAATCATCCATATGTTGAAGATGTTAATTTGGATGGCTCACCTTTAGTAACCGCTACAAATTCTCCAAATAATTCTAATAATTCTAATAATTCTAATGATTCTACAAACACTCCTTCAACGTCTTCCAATTCGAATGCTAATAACACTAATCAACCTAGTAGTAAAAATCAAAATAGTTCAAAAAGTAATAAAACACTATTATACGTTGGAATTACAGTTTCTATCATTGTTATTGGTTTGATTGGAATTATTGGGTACATAACATATTATAAGCGTAGAATAAGTCGACATCATTCTATAGCTGGATTTGGTCCTAATGTTGAAGAACGATTTGCAAAATATCAAAAATTTTAAAATGAACTATTATATTTTATGTGTTATGTATTTAACTAGAAAGTACAATAATTGTAGAAATTATTATTTTATTTATTTAATTATTTTATTTTATTTTATTTTGTGAATGATTTTTATTACAATTTTTTATAATTAATTGTTAAATATATTGTTTTTTATTGTGATAAAACCCATTTTATAAATAACTTTGATTTCAAATTTTGCTATATTTTAAATTTGTATTTCTTAAATAAATTTATGTCGCCAAATTTATTCTTTTGTCAAGGCTTTCTACTCTGTAGAAATCTGATAATAAATTATATAATTTATTAAAAGAAATAGCATGTTATTTCATTTTATTTTATGCATCACTGCAATATCAGCAAATTTAACAGTAATATGAATTTTTTATAAAAGGGAACTGTCATTTATCGTCTGATATTGTTAATAGTCACATGTATATATGTTGATATATAATCGTTATCATTTGAGGAAGGGAAAAAGTTTACTATTTGCAAAAAATTCATTTGATAAATGACACTTCCTTAAATGGAGGTCGTCTAAAGTTTTTAAATTGATTATTAACAAATTCGTAAATTAAAAATCACGTGATGCATATAAATTACTACCTGGCTTTAGACGATCCCCTTAAATGGAATAGTTATTAAAAAAGTTTTTATTACGTACGTACGTACGTATTCTAAACAATGCAATGCTCATATACATTATATGACTCAACCTTTTACGATAACATATTTCCTAGAAATAACGACGAGTCAAATGAAATGAAGTTATTCATAAGATTCTTTATGATTATAACATATTTGTTAGAAATAACAAAGAGTCAATGAAATGAAGGTATTTATAATGATCCTTTATGATTGCCTTTAATGCCAGCTTCTGCATGTAATAACTGTGAAATTCCTAATATGTGTTACAATTGCATCATCATTGATTTTAATCACATAATTGGTTTAGATATGATTCCGTATCACTTCAACTATGCATTATTATTATTCGTCTGGCTCAGTAAAAATAATAGATATTCGGATATTATTTTGATTATTATTATTTTTTTTTTTATCCGAAAATCGGCCAAAAAATTCGAGTAAATATCCGATGCATTCATTGATATTTAATATGTATACATTATTGGGCAAAAATTTGTGAATAACGGCAATTTGGCTTAACTGGACAAATGATATTGGTTGACAAGCGGCACTTGTCAGCCAATCATTTGTCCGGTTGAGCCAATTTGCCGTTAGTCACAAATTTGCCCAATAATGGTGTTATCCGATAATTTATGATCATGATTGGTAGGGAGTCACTCGCTGAGTTTGTTTTTTTTTTGAATATTCGAAAAACATAATTACATCGTAACACATAAAAAAAAATAACAGAAAGAAAGTTTTTCATGATCTTAAGAGTTTGTCGGATAAACACATTTATAGGTCGTACCCGTATATGAATCACCTGAATAACCCAAGTTGATTATAGGTCGTACCCGTATATGAATCACCTGAATAACCCAAGTTGATTAATTCACCGGGTCTTGGCAATTAATATCCGGTGATTCGAATTTAATGTTAGGAACTGATATTTCCATACCCCTTTTTTGATATTTTCACACCCCATGCATCACTGAAATACATTTTTACATAGATCTATATAAACTTATGTAGAATTTTTATTTAAATTTATATAAAACTTTATAAACCGAATGTAGATTTACATAGTTATTTATATAAATTTATAAAAATTTCTATATAGATTTATGTAAATTTTTTAATTTAAATATTAAAGTAAGAATTAGGTTATAAATAAAATTTACATTAATATAAATAATAAAAAAACCATACATAAATATTATATAAGTTATATCTAAAAATTTCAACTATATAAGTCTACATTGGGTTTGTAAATCTATATATAATTTTATAGAACTACGTAAGTTTTATAAAAATGTACTTCGTGATGACTGTTTAACTTTGATCGACAACCACTCAACTAAATTCGGTGAACCCTTTTTATTTGTATTCTATGGGTCGATCAAGTCATGATCAATTTTTCCGCGACCAATATTTTGACAGACGTTAAACCTTTTTTAAAATTTAATCGAAGGTATCTCGTATCTCGACAGCCATCCAACAAAATTTGATAAGTTTTTTTTTTTTATTATTCGAATTCTTATACCGATTGTGATGAAGGCAGCATAGCGAACTTTTATTGTGATTGGTTAGATTTTGTTGATCATCTCGTGATTTTATTGGCCGATCGACCAAT